AAGGGGGTTGCGGCGAAGGATCCGAAGTGGTTTCTTGAATGTGAAGGGGGTGGTTGGGCAGTTTAAGAAGATGCGGAGGGAGCGGAGCATTAAGAGTGATAAGAACAGCGATTTTGGGGATGATGATACGTACGACCGGCAGGACATTGACTCGGAGGATGGCGACGACGAAGATAACGAGGATGGGGAGGTGGCCGAAAAAGAACAGGCGGCACTAAGAGACATCATCACGTTCCCTGGGCGGCGCGGCTGAGAGATCTGGCGACGGTCAGCAGTTCCAGCGCGGAGGCGGTACCGACCTAGCTTACCGTCCGGCAACTACCAGGGGAGGTGGCGGGGGAGGCGGCGGGGGAGAGGGCTGGCAGCAGCAGCCTAGTCAGTCGTTTTTCAGCACGGGAGCCGGAGTTCTTGGGCCGGTGATGGTGGTGGTGGACAAGTCACCAGCCCCGGAACCAGGAGGTATCGCTGGCAGTGGTGGTAAAATGAACCCCTACCTCCTCACTAAACAGGCGATGCTAATCGTAGATGCAGGTGACAACGCCGCGATGGAGGGCCAGTACAACACTGCGTCGCCGGGTGGTGCAGGCTACGTAGACCAGAGCCGAGGCTTGGGTTGGGATGGAGGCCAGAATACATTTGAAGATGGGGGCGCGGCGAACGAGCAAGGGCATTTTGGCGCCAGAGGCTGGGACCAGGGCCAGCAGCCCGAAAGCGAGTATTACGAGGGGGTGCCTACCAGTCGTGGTTTACCCCAAGAGCAGCAAGACGGTGATGCGGAGGCCGTTGATATAGAGGGCGGAGGAAGATGACACGAGAGGGCGACGGAAGATGAACGAGAGGGCGAGGAGCGGAGAAGGCCAAGAGGAAGAAAACGACGAGGGAGAACATGCCGAGGGAAGAGAATGCCGAGGAAGAAAATGTTGAGGAAGAAAATGCTGAGGAAGAAAACTATGAGGAGGAGGAAGAGTAGGGGGATCTTTTCGGGGGCAAGTGCTGGCCGTTGGCAAGAGATACCGGCTTCGCTCACCAGTATATACTTATGCGTACAACGAGGTCTACCCGTACTTCTGAACTGTTCCAACTACTGGCGTGTTGGATGTGATTTGACAACGGGGGCGATCCGTCTGAGGAATCAATGGTAGACTCGAAACTGCACAGTGAGTGTAAGCTGGAGGAATAGCGGGGATGCAGGATCATTTTTCGGCATAACATATATGCGGACGAGTTGATCGACTCCATAATAGTCGTTTTGTAATTTCTTCACCATCCCGCCCTGTGCTTGTTTTTCAAGACTTGGATGTCTCTGCCATTCCATAGAAAGCCCGTTACCATGCCTCCGTCTCCATCCTCCTAGAAAAACTCCGACTACGGTCTGGTCAGCCTCACGTCACATTAACCCCTGACTAGCTCCCTTAAAAACCCTGCTTCTCAACCTGGGCCTTTGCGGCAGCAATGGTCGCGGCGGCATTGGGGTCCGCAAAGCCGCAGCCGTTCTTGCCGTTCTGGAACTGAGCAGCCTCGGCCGAGCAGACACCCACGCCGCTCGCGTCGGCACAGCAGCCGGAGCTGCAGTCAGCGTTGTTGACACACCCGCCCGTGATGAACTGCTGGCCGTTTCCTGCCCCGACGTTCTTGGCGCCCGCGTTGTTGGGGGTGATTTGGGCTGTGGCGGCGAGGGCGACTGTTGGTGTGAGTGATTGTCAAGGAGAGGAGGCCAAGGGGTGGGAGTTGGCTTACAGGTGAGGAGAGCAGCAATGGTGAGGCGGACCATCTTGAAGGTTGTTGGTGATGGTATTGTTGGGAAAAGTGTGTATTAAAATGAATTGATAATGTAAACTGCTCAACAGTGACGACGCCAGGCCGTGAGAATGAAGCTGAAGATCTGAGTTCGCTGAGCTGGATGATGAAAGAAGATGGGATGATAACGCGATTTGGTGCAGCTTGGATGCCTAAGATATAGCTCAGAAGAAAGCCATCATTAGCAACCTTCCTCCCGTCTCCTCGTAGATCCTTTCCTCTCGAGATGTTACTCCAGATCGCCGCGACCGAAATCGTCGCGGATCCCAGGTAGCAATTGGTGTAAGTCTGGATGAAGGGGACGGGTTATCATCAGCCGACGAACGAGACTGTTCCACCCGCCATCTCTAAACTAAGGCCCCACCATTTGTTCCTGCGCATTACCCGTCGCCGGCAAAGTGCTTGGACCGCTTTGTGAGGGCAATGGTTTGGGAGTGTTTGATCGCCTTGATGCTTGGGATGACGGGGGCTTGGCATTAAAAGGAGTTGGTTCATGGTTGATGCGAGACAAACCGCTAAACCAGGGTTTTTTCACGTGATTGTTAGAATCATTGATCAAGGGACATCTATGGGATGAATCAACTTGACAGAAATGTTGTGTGTGGTAGTGGCTGGCCTGCATACCACATACCCCTTTTCCACACCACCCCTGCACCACGGCCACCCACCCCCTTTTAATCTCAACCACAATACCAAACCATCACATACGACCATAGGCGGTATAAAACTCGGGATCCCGTCCGCTCTCCCCTCGATAAAATGCCGACCGCTGGATCAGTAGTTGGGTCGGTGACGACCAGCGAATCCCCAGTGTTGTATGTTTTTTTTTCTTTTTTTTCTTTTTGTGTTTCTTTCGAGCAGGTGCAAAGACACCTACTCCTTATGTCCAGTCAGAATTCAGCTGTGCTCAGTTTCACACTTTGACCACGTTCCCGCCGTAAAAGCCCTGAAGGTACTGTTGGCAAGAACCACGAGGGGTACTGCCTTTGGTTGTTAACGGCCCTTTCCTGATAAGTACCACCTACCATTAAATGTGGCCTGCCTTGGCGTTTCTGTTTGTAAAGTAACTGCCAGTCCAAGACACCAGAACTCCTGACCGATTAACCAAACCAAAACGTCTGCCATTCCTACACCCACATCAACACAGTCGATATAATCTACCATGCGGCTACAAATCGACATTTCGGACGCCGCCGTCGAGGAACATGAAGAGATCCACCAGCTTCACCTCTGGGGGTTTCAGACATCTCTTTGGAAGACCAGCTGTATGGTTTGTGGGAAGGATACAGGGCCGAGCAGGATTCGATGCATTTGTGGAGAGGGTGTGTTCTGCAGCCAGGAATGTCAACATGATTCCAGGGCCATCCCGCTGCCACAATGTGCTTACATAAAATACTGTCCTCTCAAAGATCGCCCGAGCAGCAACCATCGCCGCATCGGCGTTATCCAATCGGAGCCGCCTTGGCTCAAGCTCGTCTGGGCTGAAGTCAAGGATAGCCACCTCATCATCGATCACCCCACCTTCGATGATTTCTATGGAGGCTCCCAAGCTGGCTCGGTCTGGCTCGACCTTGCCGTAATCAATCCCGCCGTGGAGAGCGAGCCCTTTCGCAAGATTGGACACGGCCTTGCCATGGGTGCGGCAGCTTGATGACGCCCACAACTTACTGCTGCTTTGGCTAATCAATGATGGATAGGCTTCTCTTCGACCATGATGGACCCAGAAGCCGTGGTCGAAGCCAAATTGCGGAACGGGGGGCCTATAAGCGCCCTAAGGCCCGGCTATCAAGGGCAATGGCCTGGGCCACTCATCTTTTTCTGTTACGGTTACCCATTGAGCGACTATGTCAAAGTCGACCCAACCCAGTCGGACGACGTCGAACATGGCGCCGAGGGGAAGATGAGCAGCCTAGAGATTTGGACCGAGTTGGACACGATGCGTTACAAGAGCTTGCTCAGCGAACAGGAGTGCGTGGAAACACAGCTCCAGCGGAAGGGGAAGGAGGCGGCCAGTAAATCTGTAACCCCGAACGCCGGACCGGTTTGGAAATGGAAAGTCAAAGAACACGGCACGTCGATGAGGATCCTGGACCTTACGCACAAGGACCTCGTCGTGGTTTTCGACTACCTCGCCCTCTCACAACTTAACCCCAGCCTCCGCCTCCTCCGACCCTGGAACTCCAGGAACATCCACGCGATCCACGTCCAGGACCTCAACCACCCCGGCTACGGCATCAAAGACCTCTGCAACTACGTCCACCACCCCGACACCTACCAGGACAACGTCATGACGGCGTACTTCCCCAAAGTCGACGACCGCATCTCCCTCCGCGAAATCGTCGTCCCCCTCTACCTCCCCACGCACCCCGTCGTCGGCGCCTTCGCCGTCGGCCTCCCCTGGATGGCGTACTACTCGATGGACATCAACCCGCCGTTCCGGCAGGAGATCCCGGTCGCCCCCCGCTGGCCTCTTATGGAGCTGATGTGGACCATCGGCATCGACACGGTCGGGGCCCCCCACCTCGCCCTGCACGTGCCCACCTCGGCCTGCGACTCGGTCGTCCTCATGCACGTCGACGCCGCCCTCATCCACCCCCACCACGCCCGCGCCCTGTACAAGTACCTGCGCCATACTGACCCGCGCGAGTGGACGCGCCGGGGGCCGAAGGGCTTCGAGAGCTACTGGGCCGTGTATGCCAAGGTGGAGATGGTGGCGTGGGACAAGGTGCCGGATGTGTATGCCGCTGAGCCGCGTTCGCGCAGGATGGTGTCCGTTCAGGGGAATGATGAGATTGGGATGGTGATGGCGCATTTGACGCTGGAGGGGTTGGAGAAGGAAAGCCCGCAACGGAGGGAGGAGATTGCCATGGTTAAGCGGGAGATGTTTGATGTTATATGTGAATACCGCGAGGCGCCGCCGGGGAGGCATTTCGGGACTGACTGACGTGTAGTTAGGGGGTGTGTGGTGGTGTTTAGGCATCGGATCAGGAAACTAGAGCTAGAAATTATCACTTATGCAAGGGTCAAGACTAGACATCGTATGTGCTTGGAAAAGAGACGAGCGTGGGGAATGATAGGCCCTGAAATTCCATAAATCGACGGTCAAATCCCCCGAACTGGGCTGGCCATTTCCGATTTCTGGGGAGTTAAGGAATCCCCGGTAAATAAAGTACCAGAGCACACAGCAAGAAAGCACTCTCGAGCATCGAATTTTGCATGTGTGCTCCCATCCAGCTAGTTATCGGAAGTAGGACTACCGTGTGGTATAGGGTGCTGTCCTGGGAGTTGTCGTGGAGGCAAAAGCAAAGGGGATTCGAGCACCTGTCACTTGGAGAAAGAAACCATCACCGCATTGGAGACTTTTCCTAAACCTTGTCCCTACATGCGGACAACTGCTCGTTTCGTCGAGAGGCTCATCATTTATCTGCAATAATTGAGTCGTTTTAAAATAAAGCGGCCTGGTGTTGTTTAATCTGGGGGTGAAAAGCTCGGGTAGTTCAGGTGAGATATCTCTTAGTGTTGGCCTTTTCCTCCGGCCAACGACCCCTTTCCGAATGCATGTCAACAAACCCCCCGTCAGACTCCGCCCTGTGCCCCTGAACCCCGGCGAGAGCACCGCTTATTAATTCCCTACCTTTGGTGGAGTGGACGTTAACTAGCTTTGTCACATCCCGAGCGGGCACGTGCGAAGGAGACGCAACCCCGCATTATTCTCGGCTTGACCCTTGCGTCGCGGCTTGCAGCGAGAGGAGAGAGCAAGGGAAGACCCCCCAAGCGCCCCAACCTCGACAAAAGTCCCCGTCCCGCCATCCAGGGTGTGAACGCCCAGCAAGGAAACCCGTGACGTGACAGCCGAGACACGGCCAGCGAGGGGTAAAACGACAAGCGGCAGCATGCCATGGCCGAGGAACTGCCTCTTTGAGCAGGACGGACGCATGCTTGGGAGAGCACAGCGGTTCGATACGCAAAGACCAGGGACGAGGCAGGGGACTTAATTTATCCCACTATTGATGCTGATGCTTATCGGGCTGGATGCAGTGCGCCATGGAACGTTTCAAGACTCGGAGGGTGGGGCTCGGCGATGGTTGGTGAACGGGGACGATCGGGGGGGGACTCAACTTACTGTGTCGGTATGGAGACCAGCACGGAGCGACGGAACGATCGGGCATGTCGTCGGCGCCGAACTCTCGTCAACTCGAAACTTCAGAAGCTCGGCTTGTCCAGACCTTGATTCCTATAGCTGCCGGGTTATCGCGAGGGCGAAAGTTGACTGGCCGGATCGTCTAACTAGTCGCCCTCCACCGTAAACATGACGGCTCGTCTCGGGCTGGCGCATGCGGGGTTTTCCGAGCCCATCTCTCGCCGAGGGCACCATCGAAGCGGATGGGCCATGCCGCTCCGCAAAAACGGCTGGTTAATGTGGCAGGCAGGAGGTGGCGAGGCGCAAGTGGTCAGGAGACCGACCACGACAATCCTCGCAGCTTGTTCCTGGCCGGACACCGGATCCCATCCTGTCGGTTCTTGCTTGGCTGTCAGCTTCGAACCACCACCACCAACTCAAAAGGCCGGCGGAAATCCGACCGCTGGTTTCGGTGAGACATGAGCAGTCAGGTCCACAAAGTGCCGGTTCCGACAGATGGCCCCAGTCCATCTGGCCACGTCGTCGATATATATTCGACGTCGTTTGCACGCCCACAACATCGTTAGACCACAGGCTGAGCATGCATCTGACGGGCCCGTGTGGCTGTCACCTGGCCGCGACACCGCCTTGCCCATGCAGGTCGCGCAAAACAGACATCGTCATATTTCGTACCGCTCGTCAGTTCAGGAACCCTGACTGCCTTTTTTTTTTTTTTTTCTGCTTCTGTTCTCCCTTTTCTTGTGCGCCGTGAGATTTCACCCTGGTAACCTCCGATCCTCCTCCTCTCGGTACATGCCGAGGGCAAGCCCTGGGATCTCCAAACTGTGAAAAGCCACGAAACACAGCTGGAGCAGAGACCGAGACCCTTCAGGCTGCTGAATGGAACGCCGTTTCCAAGCGAAGCCCCGCTGTTGCTTTCGGGGCGTGTGGGCCTCCACTGAGCCCCCATGATGACGCAATGTGTTGGCGGTGTCAGGAACCCCACCACCTTCGCACAAAAACACTGTCACCGCTGATCAGCGCGGCGTGATAATGGAATGCCAGCCCGGTATCTCCCTTGATTGTGTTTGTGTGTTTGATAGTGTACAACCCTCAAGGTAAAAACAGAACACAACACCCTCTCGTCGAGACAACCTACCCTCCTGTGTTGTAACTATCGGGTTGCGTTCCCGACTGACACACCCTTCCATAACTATTTGGATTGTCGCACTCAGCTCGGTGTTTCGTTTGTTGATAGTGAGAGACGGGAGTTTTTGAAGCGCTTGGGGCGTGGGCGCCCCGGGCCCCTTTCCGGACCGATTTGCCCTTTGCGTCCTGTGCGCTTACTTGGGGTGTGGACCCCACTACAAAGGGCGACTTTCAGGTACCCGAGCAGGTGCAGCTGCATTCAACAGCCAGGTACCCGAAGGCGGCATCTGCGCGATGGACTGGTAGGCAGGGCAAGCAAAGGCACAAAGGCCCGGAGCGGAGCAGGACACCGACGACTGGGAGCGGCTCTCGGACATGCAGCATGATCCGACTTGCTCTTTCGATTTGGCTCAAGACGCTTAGGCAGCTTGCTTTGTCGGATGGCGCAACTCTTCCCGCACCCCGTCGGGTGTTTTCGTATGGACTTGCCACATCGTTCTTTTCGTCTTTTTTCGTCCTTTTCGTCGAGCAGCTTGAGAGTCAGGCCACTGTGCTTGTGATCTCGCTAATGTCAGGCGAGAAATGAGGGGTTAAGGTGGCGATTAGGCAGTCGAAGCGTCATCAAGAAAGGCTCAAGTCATCGTTGACATCGGGCTGCTGGTTGTTCATCGATGACGGGTTGCTGTCTAGAAGCAGCTTTCATGGATACAGGGCCTTCGCCGAGGTGGGGAAGCCCAACCTCTTATTGACGCTAATCCCGATGCGGTGTGCTTCTGCCCCTCCTTGAGAATGGATGAAGGCGGGGGTGACTCTGGCAGTTTCCATCAAGAACGCAAGCAGGAACCTGGACCATCAAGAACGCAAGCAGGAACCGAATTTTCCCCGACGACCGAATCAGTAGCTCCAGCATTGTGAAGCCAACCTGCACTGCTTGCGGATTACGCATTTTCCTTTGCCTGAACAACGGGGCTTTTCTCTGTGTTTGACTTACGGCGTGTAAATCTCTTGAGGTCATTTCAGAGACGACATCGATTTGAGTCAAACTTGCAAGCCATCCTCAGCTACCATACGAATTATGGTAGAGAGTGTATATCCATGCCAGCGGGTTGCGAAACAAGCCCCCTCGTGTCTCCGCAGGGATAGTGGACTGGAGATGCATCGAGGGTGGTTGGTCCTGCAGGTCAGCAATCCGTCCGCAAGGGACGTGCCAAAAAAGCAAGCTCACGAGCCAACTACAGGCTCTCATGCGGACCGAGATCTGGTCCAAGACGCACACACACTGCATACGGCAAAGCCGCACTGAATCGCCTGCAATTCCAACGACTGGCTGGTTGGCCAGTGCACTCGATCAGGCCACTGGGTGGCCAAGGTACATCCTCTCAGGCATGGGAAGCCGGGTCCAGGCGGACGGGACAGAACACCGTTCCCTGCCATCTCTCGAGTGCTCACAGCGCATCCCCTGCTTCACATCCATGCTCACCTTGCCACGCCGGCTAGGTAGGTTGCCGCCCGCAAAGCCAGATCAGCCAGCCAGCGCCCCAGATCAGCCAGATCCCTAGGTAAATCAGCCACCAGCCAGAGCCCGAAAGGCGCCCGCTTTCCCTCGCAAAATCACCCGCAAACTACTGTCTGATTTAAAGTCCTTCCTCCTGGAACCCAACCTGCCCTGCTTTCCCTCCACACTTGGCATATTTTTCTCTTCCTCCGCCAATCTGCGGGAACATTGTTTGCTGTTGATCAGCTTCGCTTCGACTTCGCTTCAGCTTCAGCCCGTGCCTATAATCTCCACTGGCACTCCGGAACACCTGGAAGCTGTAGCTCCATTTGGCGTCGCCATCTTTTTATTTTTTATTTTTATTTATCACCACCCAGGAAGCAAACCCGCGCTTCCCATCGACCACTTTCCCCTTCCCCTTCCCCTTCCCTTCTTGATCCCGCCTCACGCCTCCCGCCTCTCCGCCAACTTTGAGGAAGCTTGGCTGGCCTTTGGCCCAAACACCTCCCCCGCACCCACCCCTGTCGGTTAGTCGTCTCAGCCTTGCCGCCCATTCCATATTTATTCCCCTCTCACCCCTGTTCCAGCACACCCATGGCTTCCTCCGAACACCACAAATTTGCAATGCCTTTCGCGTTCCGTCCTGTGAACAACCCGCCGCCAGCGGGAGAAGCTGGCCAAGAAATCTCGTCGCCATCGCCGATGACGCCACGGACGACCAGTGCGTCGGTACAATCTCCGAAGCCTCTTGACGAGGCCACGACACCCACTCGCGCGAGCTTTGGTACTAGCACGCTCGCATCACAAAAACCCCTCCCCACCTCACCTTTCCCCGAGTCAGTGCAGGTGCCGGAGTCCGCGGCGGGGCCTTCCAAGATGGTGCCGTCACACAACGCGAGCGCATCGAAGGGTTCGGACGATTCGGAAATGGGTGATTTGGATGGCGAGGAGCATGCCGGCGATAACGGAGCCGGTTCTGATGCCGAAAGCGCCAATGGCGACGGGTCCAAACCCAAGAAGAAGAAGGCGCAGCGCTTCTATTGCACCCGCCACCCGCCGTGTACGCTGAGCTTCACCAGGAGTGAACATTTGGCGCGGCATATCCGGTAAGAGCCCACCTTCAGCATTTCACCCCAAACCTGTCACTGACCCTAGGGACCGCAATTCAGCAAACACACGGGTGAACGGCCCTTCCAATGCCACTGCTCCCGACGCTTCTCGCGCCTCGACAACTTGAGGCAGCACGCCCAGACGGTACACGTCAACGAGGATATCCCGGCGGACTCACCCGCTGCTACCGGGACGCGATTTCAGAGGCAGATCAGGACGGACAGAGTACGGCCGTCTGGCAGAGCTCGAGCTTCGACCGCGGGTAGTGTCGGGCCTGCGGGCCGTGGGCATTCCAAGTCATTGTCCACGTCGAGCATCGCAACTGTGAGCTCACTTGCCTCCGGCTACAGTGTGACTGACACGCGCCGCCGGCCGCCACCGCTTGTTATGGCGGATCCTCGATCCCGAATCCCACTCGAATCGTACCGTGGGAACGATGGGCCGTATTACAGACCGCCCTCGCCGGGTGACTTCAGTACACCCACTTCCTCGACTTTCTCGACCGGGACCGGCCAAAACAGCCCCCGGTGGGGGCCCGTGATATCGCCCGGCACCCCTCACAGCCGATCGCACAGCATGTATGCTGTCGGGCCTAGAACCCCCGGCCGCCGCCTCAGCGTACCGTCGGGCCACAATCCATTCCAGTCGCCCCATGGCCCAGGCGCCAGGGTCCCAGGGTTCTATACCAACACAGCGCTCAACTCGTCGAATGCAGGCGCGCTCTCGTCCCAAAACACCTTGTTGGCCTCGCCAACTTCATCCACGCAAACATGGTCGCGGAGGGATTCCACGTCGTCGGCGACTGATGAAGCCTGGCGTAGACGCACTTGGCACCCGGATACACGCGATTATAACGGGACAAGTCGATTAAGCCAGGTCCTTACTCCAACTCAGATTCCACCCGATCCCATCCTGCTACCCGCCCCGCGGCCGACGATCCAGCAACAACAGCCGATGCGCCTTCCAGGGATCGCGTCCTTTGACGAGATCTCAAGTCGTCAGCCTTTTGACGAGATCTCAAGACGTTTGCCCCCGCCTCGCAACCCATCCCCAATGATGGTTGACACAGAAGCCCCCAGGCGGTTCCCGCAGTATCCAACCGTTGTTGAGCCCGCTGCAGAGAGCCAACACAGACCCGCTCCGCAGTGGGGTACGGACCTGAATCGCGGTTTGGACCGGCTGGAGATCAACATGCCGCCCACAGATACCGCAGGAACATGGGCGAGCGAGGCGAACCAAGCCCTCTCTGCCCGCGCCGAGCAGGCCCCGGTAAGCTTTGAGCGCGAGGCCAACCTCATGCCCCAACTTCCTTCCCTGATGCCGGGTGTTTTCCCATATCAGGTTCCCGCTCGCCATCAGCACACCATGTCTGCCCCATCTCCCAACGCAGCTCGTGAATCGAGGCGCCACGGCTGGCACAACGGGCCAGTCCCGATCCGCCACGCTGGGGAAACCATCCACGAAGGCCGACCACCCCATGTTGACCGAATTGTGCATCCCAACGTCAGCACATTTCGGCCCTTCCCCCCTCGTGAAGACGAGACTTATACCTATACCAAACCGCCACCGGTAGAACGAATGGACAGAGCCGAGCGGATCGACCGGATGGAACAAATCCCCGAGCGGTCGCCGAATCAGACGGGGGACGCCGATCAACTGAAGGGCCTCGAAGCGCTGGTGGCCGTTGCAACAGGCGATCGCTCCATGCCGAATACGTACCGAAAGTAACACCCGCCATACTCTCTGTATCCCTTTTCTCTTTTTCATTTCTCTCTTTTCCCTTTTCCCCTTTTCTCTTTTTCTGTTTTTTTCCTCTTTTTTTCCGGTCATACATTCGCGGGTGGACACACGATCCCTCGCCTTGCATACGATAGATACCACTCCGCGCCAACCTTCTTGCATATTTTGGGTAGGGGTGGGGGGCAATATTTCCGGTCGGCGTTGAACTAGACTGGTTCGGGTTTTCCTTTTTCTCTCCATCTTTATGACGAATCTTTCTCATCATCTCATCATCTCGTCACGACGAAACGACATATGGCTCCAGACCATGGGATACCCACTCTCAATTTAGTTCGCGCGGCTTTGGATGATTTTGGAAACGGGGTTTCGGATTTTTGCATCGATGGGATTTCCTTACGGGTTTCGCTGGGCTGGGCAGGATATAGCGGCATGATTTGTGAGCTGGCCGCAAGGTGACTCGTGACGACCCCACGAACTCCGACTTTGGACTCGCATGGCCGTCTCGATATGGACGGGTGGACGGGGTGGATGCATGTGATGAGACGGGCTTTGGAAGATACCCCTGGGAAGCAAGGATGGCAGGAAAGGAAGGACCGAAACACTCTTCTCTTGTCGAGCGTGATGTTACTTCGTCACTCTTGACTGCTACCAATTCTGGCGTTTTGGCTTAGTGGAGAATATATTTAGTTTTGGTTCTACGATGCGTTCAGTCCCGTGTTGTGTGTTGTGTCCTTGCCCCCGTTTCACCTCATCGATCTTGGATACGCCTACGCTACCCAGTCGCAAAACTAGAGTAGGATACGGTCCCAACTGAGGCGGAGTGGACGTTGGTCATGAAACAGCACTCTCGTCAGATCTCTCGTCGAGTCCCCACCGCTTCACAGGTCCAGAGTGGCACATCGCCCCAAACATACAACCCGAGCGAAGCGACTATGATGCGGATGTCATGGATGAAACGCACTCACACATGGGCTACAATGAACGGCGACTTGGCAGATGTAAATGGAAGGGGAAGCCTCCTGGAACTCGTCCATACACAAACCCGTTCATGTTTAGTTCTGGCAGGCAATAAGCCATAAGTTACCTAGTTGTCTCGACGAAACAGTCAACTCATGGCTTTCTACTCTATAATAATCTGATCTAGCCGGTATTCTGTTGAAGCAACACTAAAGAACGAGGCGGAAGAGGAGGGCCTTTGACAAATGGTGACGTTGATGGTCATGTGATTCTTCTGCATTGACTGTATTACAATGAACTAACTATTGACGTTCAAGTACGTTCTGAAGGAATCATGCTTTGCTGTGATATCCAAAATCTACGCCGGTCCCTATCTCCAAGATGTGGGAGGTTATATATACAAAGAGGGGCGTTAGTCGGCCTGTATGTGCGTGAGGCATCCTCCCGCTTTTGGTGTCTTGTACATGGTGTCTGACAGGATTTGCCGTCGTGGTATTATGCAGATCCTCGACATTGTTCTGAGCGATGCCGCTATCCGCTCAATCGAGGCTTGCTGTTTGCGCCGCGGCGCCAGCACTCCGCATTCCTGCGATCCGTTTGGGCGCAGGGACAGGTCGTTGCCCGCCGGCCGGGTAGCGGCAATGGTTGTCCTCGTCCAGCTCGAAGCCGCTCGAACTGGTGGGGCCGTCAACTGTGTTGGCAGGTTGCTGACTGCGCAGTCTCATGTTTCCCGCATTTAGTCGGGTCGAGTACGTGGCTGGTTGTTGCCTGCGGCCGACTCAGACATCCAGCATACTTCTAATCTGCTGGGGTGGCTGGTTGGTCGACGTAGTCGACTGGCCACTCAGGCTCCGCGCTACGTTTTGGGGTTGAGAGTTGGGAGCCGGGCGCGTACCCCCGACCGTATCCGTGTAGGATGGTGGTGGCGGGCCGTCCATCATTAACTCGGCACGCCGTCGGGCCGTTGCAGCAGCAGAACCCTGCGCAGCCTCGGGGAATAATAACCCGGCAGCAAGTTCCGCGGTACGCTCTTGCCGCCTCCTGTCGGATCTTCCCGTGTACGGCTCGACGGGCGGACTTGTCACTCGGGGAGAGGCAATCGGTGGCGGGGACACGGGTGTCATCTCGACAGGCTCGTCAGCTCCTTCAGTACGGGTGGTACCGCTGGTTTGCCCGGTTGCCTTTGTTCCGTGAATTTCGCGGACGTTGCGCATCAAGCGCTCGCGCATGCCCTCGTTGGGGTCCATGTATTCGCCATTGATGCGCTGCCACCACGACGGTTTGAAGACGAGACCCATCTCACGGTTGAGTGCTTGCGTACGCACGCGGCGCTGGCGCTGCAGTTCACGGTCTTCGTTGGGGTTGAAGAAGCCGAAAAGGGCTTGGATCCAAACAATGAGGAGCGCAGGGGTGTAGCCACCCGCGTAGATGGCCGCGTTCAGACCGCCGACCTTGAGAGGGCTGTAGTCGAAGTGAAAGGCCACCAAGCCCTGGTATGCAATGACAGCCGCCGCTAACGGCATGATAAGAGCAAAGCGGAGCGGGGTGTACCGGACGAAACCGATGATGCGGTTGAAGATACCTCGGTTGCGCGGGCAATAATACTTGATTGAGTGTCTCAGCGAGAAGGCGGTTATTAGCCAGCACACGGCCAGGAGGAAAGCGGCGGCTTTGAAACGAGCGTCTGTCGCGGTGGGCTCGGCTTCGTCGATCGTCTGCTGAGGGTAGCGCTGATGCTGGATAGCCGTCCAGTTCCGGGGTACGATCATGAAAAAATTCTGCGTGGCGTTCAGTCAGTTCCAGCGCTTGAACCAGGGTCACGCAAGAGGGGAACGTACCAGCCAGAGGAACAGATAGGCAAGCAACGGCAGATAAAATTCGACTCTGGACCTCCTGTCGTCGTCTCGCAGCGAAAAGGGATCGGGGTCGATAAACTGCCGCTCCATCCAACTCCCCCAATGGCGCACAGCCTCCCAGACCAGCGCGACAGCGCCGATTTGCATGAGATACCAGAAGAAACTTGTCAGGATGACGGGCAGTTCGGGCAGAAAATAACGGTCGACATCCACCGAGACGAGCAGACTGATCATAGCAGTTGCGCACACGAAGGAGCCCCAGTACCACTGCCACCGCCTCCCGATGGGGTAGAAGCGCTTCTCTGCGGGAAGATGGAGCTTGCCGTGCTTATTGAGACAGACGATGGTCATGACCAGAGCGATGCCGAACAGGACGGCATAGGCGATGGCGATACCGCCGCGCACCGCGATGCGTTCCGTCGGCGACCAACACCATGTTGCATTAAGGAAGGTGCCGTTCGGGAGAAGGTATGAGGGCGCGTAATGGGCGAAGGTTAACAGACACCACGAGCCATTGGACAAGGAGCCGTTGGAGTAGAGGGTGTAGTTCCAATGGTCGAGGGTCGTCAGGTTCAAGTGAACATTGTTGATTAGGGTGTCGGTCGCATTGTCGCCCGGGGGAAAGGAGAGGGCTTCGCGGGCCTGCAACAGGGCCATTGTTGGAACGGTGCGTTGCGAGAACAGTGGACGATAATATATAACGGCAGATGAAAGAATCGGTCGGTCGAGGAATCGGTCGGGCGCCCGGGAGTCGAGGGATCGAATATCGAGTCGAGCAACCTCGAGCAATTGCACTGGCCTTTGCCGTCGCGTCCAAGTTAGCACATCGCGGGCATCGGGGGACGGGCCAGGCTTTCAGTCCGAGATCAGGAAGATCAAGACTCGAGTCGGGAAAAGCCGTGGCAGTGCAATTGGCGAGTCGATTGGATTGTTGCAGCGATTTGCTGATGAACCTCCGCTGCTTCCGGCAATTTGTGGTCAGAAAGTTTAATCACTCATTTGAAGTGGGGACATCGCGAGTTCCAAGAAAACACACTGTGCTATTCCCACGCATACGAAATACGATGAGGTCTACGGCAACAGTACGAATCAATTGCTGCTTATAGCTTCCCCCTTCAATATTAAATGCAACCACGGAAGATATTAGAGTTGATCTCGCTGAGGCTGTCGAAGAAAGAACGGCCAGGTCGTATCGTTGCCCCCACAACAGAAGTCGAGTTGCGCAAAAATCTACCCACACAGTGATGACCTCACTGGCGGCAGCACCATAAACTCCCCGGCCGGGCCTAAGGCGCCAGTTCGCCAGCTCGCGGGGAAGCGGATGCCGAGCTGCAGGTGAAAACCCCACTGAAAACGGCGGAGCTTCATGGCCAGGGTTGCGTCCCGACGATTTGGCCTTTGTGGGTCTTGGCACCACTGTGACACCCACCACACCACACAAGCACGCACACCACGCCGCACATCACCCCAACCTTCAAAGTAAACAAAACCCGCCCGCCAAAAATGAGCAGCGCTCCCATAACCCCCACCGGCCCCGCGGCCAACAACCCCGACGAGCCCTCCTACATCGACTACGAAGCCTTCCTCGACCCCTCCTTCACACCGTCCTCCTTCGCCAACACCCTCGTCCTCGCCACCAACAACGCAGCCGACACCCCGCTCGATCTCTCCACTCCCCTCTCGCGAGTCCTCTTCGACATCCAAGAAATCGACTCCCACATCGACCAGCTCACCACGCGCTCCGCCCTGCCCCTGCTCACGCACACCTCCACCCACGCCCACGCCAGCGCGCACATCCTCAGCACCCTCACCTCGCAAATCGCCGCCCTCAACGCCAGCCACGCCCAGCTGACCCGCGAGGTCACCCAGAAACACGCCGAGGCCGACCAGGTGCGCGCCGTCGCCGCCCGCCTCTGGGACGCCCTGCGCCTCGCCCGCGCCGTCGCCCGCGCCCTGCACCTCGGCCGCCAGCTCGAGGCCCAGCATGCGGAGCTGACGGGGTTGGCGGCCACCGCGGGAGCGGGGGTGGCGACGGTGAGTGCGGCGTCGTTGAGGGGGCGGGAGGATTACAGGGCGTTGGTGCGCTGCGCGCATACGTTGTTGGCGTTGGGGGGGGTTGTTTGCGGGGGTCGGGGTGGTGGGTGCGGAGGGGTATGGGTTGGAGAGGGTGGCAGTGGTGAAGGGGTTGAGGGAGGGGGTGGTGGCGCCCGTGGAGAGGGCCGTCAAGGAGACGGCGGAGAGGGTGGTGAGGGAGTTCTCAATGGGGAGTGCTACCGGTGGGGCGGCGACATACGCGCAGTCGGAGGAGGTGAGGACGAAGACGGTGGCCGCGCTGACGGCGCTGTATTTGTTGACCCCGCCGCCGCCGGAGGGGTTAGGGAAGGGGGCCGGTGAACGGTGGGTGCCGACGCTGATGCTGCAGGCGCTAGAGGTTTATTTGAGGTCCGCGCTGCAGAGCAGCATCGCGGGCTTGTCGCGGGCGCTGGCGACGCTGCCGAGCCTGGATAGGACACTGGCGGAGGTGAGCGCGCGGTGTCAGAATGTGGTGGCGCTAGAGGCTGTTCTGGAGGGGACTAAGGCGCCTGTGCACCCGCTACTGCAAGGGAAACACGCGGAGCAAGCGAGCGGGAATCTGCTGCAGCCGCTGCTGGCGTACCTAGAAACGGGGTCGCTGGCGAGTTACTTTTGGCGGACCATGGCTGGCAGTATGGCGCCGAGGGTGCAGGAGATTATCTCGAAAGGGGGAGTTTCTGCACGGACACTCAAAACAAACCGGCAAACAGTGGGCGAGGCCATCAAGGAGTGTGTGGCACGGGGGAGTCAGCTACCAAGTGCGGTTGCTGCGGCCGCGAAGGGGCAGGGGAGAGGCACCGAGGTTGACTCTAGTGGGAAACATTGGGAGCGGGAGGTGGCTGTCATGGTGGGGAGTATTGTCAACAACCTTGGGAGGTGATGCCGTCAAAGGCGCCGAGACCCGTTCCAACGCAACAAGGGCGCTGAAATTAATACACGTTCGAGGCAAGCTTCGTTCTCAGCATGGCCTTTCTAGTGCTCTATTGGTGACCAACTGAGCACCTCAACCATCCATCCCACCCGAGCCACCCGCGATAGATATCGGGTCTCTGTGCCGTTGCTTCCGTGCGCCTCACTCGAACAAAATACGGACAACTCCATCCATCAAATTCCAGCGAGCCGACGAGACGCGGATGCAGCCTCCTCCTTCGTCCTATCCTACACAGCCCACCTCTCCCCGCATCCCCGCTTGTTATCTGCCGACTCTAGCCCAGACTTGTCCAAATGCTCCCCAATCCCCAATTCTTCCCCGCATTTAGCAACCAGAGGAAGGAGAATGCACCGCCCCGCGAACTGGACGTTAATCGAGTTGTGGGGTTAACGGCAATAAATCAACGGCCCCGGTGGTGACCTGCAGGACCAAAATAGCGCTATCGTCTGACCTGCATATGGACCTACCGCACTCTCGATCCACAACCACAATCCCAAGGACCAGTTTGTCACGGTGGTCTTGGCCCGACCGAATGCGGGGGGAGGGGAACCGGGAACCGAGATATATCGGGACGGCCCCCAACGGGGAGATATTGTCAGAAGAAGGGGGATATTGTAATATAACTGGGAGGTCGTACCTCGCGCCTCCTAATCCTTCCCGAACCAACAACCCACAAACCAACACCTAAACAACTCACCATACAAGCACATCACCATGGCCGACCCAGCCCCCAAACCCAAACGGCCCTTCTCTAAAGTCAGCCTCCCTCCCTCTCTCGACGGTCTCTGCGAACCGCAGTTCTTCAGGGGTCAGCTGGCTGCGAGATATAGCACAATGGCCCGGGATATCCGCCCCAGGTACTCCGTAGTCGTACATGCGCTCCCGACACACTGACCTCTCGCAGACGCGGCGATGCAGGAGCTCCGCAAAGTGCTGCCGGATCTGTGGATACGGGGAGTCGATTCCCAGGAGGAAAAGCGACGCCCCAATTTTCGATTGCTCCGAGGTGGCAGTGTCGGGGAGCACCGGAGGGTACGGGCGCAGGGCGGGGTTGGCACCGTACATCAGAAGGGCCACGACCGTCATCCCGATCAGCTGCCCACCGTCGGGGAGCCCGTCGGCCCACCGATGCACATCGTAGTTCGCCATGACCTTGTACAAGATGGTGGCGCCGGTACGACTACGTTGGTCGGGGTCGGCACCGCGCTCTAGCAGCCGGTGGACGATCGAGGGGCACAGGCACAGGGCGGCCTGCTCTAGCGCAGTGTATTCGATGCCGCGGATGGTTGACACGACGGCGTCGGGATGCAACATGTGGTTTACTAGTTCCGTGGCAACATCGGCTTGGCGATGGGTGATCGCTAACGATAAGGGGGTCACCGGGTTGGCGTCG